CAGGGGTTCAGGTTACTCATCGCCAGGAACCGACGGCTTATTTATAGAGTCTTTATAAAAACAGATTTATTTAAGCCTCAAGGAGGGCACACCGTCATTTCATCATCAGCTAAATGGGCAAACTGTCGCTGTGAAAAATTCTGAATATGTACTCTTTTTCTTTTTCCACTGTGCCATCTGCTGGTCTCCCCCACCCCGCTGGATTTCACAAGTCACGGGGCCCAGGATTTGAACTGTGGTTAGCCATCTAGGATCCAGCTCCCTTACCCATGAGACCCCAGGGCCAGCCTTGAATACATGCTTTTTCAGAAGGGAGTGGTTAAACTCACTCACTAGGAAACAGCCGTCCCCTTGGGTGGGCTTCGTATGTTCTGGGTGAGCCAGCAGTCACACGCCAGCCATCTGCCTCCTCAGGGGCACCGAGAGCTTTGACACCAGGCCCTGACTCGTCCCGAGAGGAAACTGAGGCTCAGCAAGGGAACGAGGTCCGGGCTGAGACCCAGTCAGTCACCAGGTGTGTCCCCAGGGTGGGGCCGCAGCGTGCAGCTAGGCCGGGACACACAGGCTGCCTCCACCTCCCGCTGCCCCGTGTATTCCTGTCTCGGTCTTGCTCTCAGCATCTGTCTCAAACTCTTTGATCCTACCTGTCTCGCTGTCCCTCCTGTCCCCTCTCTACCCTCCCCACCTGCAAACTTGCCACCAACCTCAGAGATAACCCCAAGGCCTTCTCACCCAGGTGAGGGAGGCTCACGGCGTGACCTGAGTCGGCTCCAGTCAGGCGAGCAGCCCAGCCCTGAAACATGCCCCTGTGCAGGCCACCACGGCGTGGCCACGTGCAGCCAGTCACGCCCGCCCATTCCCACCACACCTGACCACGCCTGTGTCTTGTGCTTGGGTCCACCGAGAGGGGCCGTGGTTGGTGTCTCGTCAACTGTCCTAGGAAGTCCCATCCTCCCCTGCCTCTGGGCCAGGGCAGGGCCAAGGGGGTGGCATTGTGTCTGTCGGGAGCCCATCAGGTGTCCTGACTGCTCTCCGAGTTGGGGCCCCGTGCACGGGGCGGCGCGGGGGTGGGGGAATCTGGTGTGGGGTGTGGCTGGCAGCTCTGGGACGAAGTCCAGCTCTGCCCAGCCCCTCCCCGCCCCTTTCCCTATGCTGAGCCGGCTGGCCTCTCCCTTGGTCTCCCCTCCTGGTTTCCTTTCCTCTTCTTTCTTCACCTACTGCCCCTCTCCTGCTCCGACGTACTGAGCAGTATGTCCCCCAGGCACGCTGAGAGTCCAGTGGACAGGCACGGCTCTCCCCTCGTGCCGACCACGTGCCCCGGGAGGGGACGCTGCATGAGTACAGATGACATTAGGACCACACTCCAGGCCAGGGCTCTGAGGGGGATCTGCCCTGGACTGGGGAGGTCTGGGAAGCCACTTGGTGGCAGCGTGAGCAGAGCACATCTGGAGGGTGAACGGCATTTACTCAGGCGGCTGTGGGCAGCCTCGGCAGGCCAGGGCTTGGACAGGGGCTGAGGTGTGTCTGGGGTCGGTGCAGCCAGACCACAGAGTGGGTGCAGGGCCTGGGGGCCAGCAGGTGTGGGCAGCACTGGGCTCGATCTTCGGAGCCTGGGAAGGAGTGGCAGCAGGTGCAGGGGAGACGTGACACAAACCTGGGGCTTGGCCCCTGGCCCCACTCTTGGCCCACTCCCCTTCCCCTGCCGCTCCTCCTGGGCCAGCAGACCACCCCCATGGATGCACGCAGGGTGGACTATGGCCAGAGAGCACTGGCCGGGTACTCTCCCTGTGCAGCCTCAGTTTCCCCATCTGTAAATGCTCACCGAGCCCCCCCCGCCCCAGCAAAGCTCCATGTCAACCCAAAGCCTGGAGAATATGGCAGCTTTGGAAAGCACACACTTGGGGGTCAGGCGAACCCGGGTTCAAGTCCCCAGCGCCTCCCCCACTCTAACCATGTGACCTTGGGCATGCTTGCCACTGTGGGCCTCAGTCTCCCCCCGACCTCCATAAAATGGGCCCCTGGTGTTTCCTCCTTGTGGGCTTATCAGGAACCTGCCATGGCCTAGGGGCTGCTTGTGTCTGATCTAGACACGGGTGGGAAGTGCTGTGGGCCTTCAGGGGCCCCGAGACAGAACGTGTCTCCCACTCAGGACCACAGAGCTCCCTGCGCAGCTGGGCGTGTAGAGTTGCAGAGGGGGAGGGGACGCACTTCTGCTGCTCGGAATTGCTCCGTCAGCTGCGGCCACCGAGCCCTGCCCTGACTCGGATCCTTTCTTTGGTGGATGTGTCTGACACCCCAGAATAATGCAGGTGCCATGACTTCTCTTTCCCCCACACCCCCATAACCGTATGGCCTTTCCTGGTTAAGGCCTTCATACCTGCTCCCTGCAAAGTGATTATTTTCAGAAAATACATTCTTCTAACAAATACCTATTCAACAGCTAGTACAGGCCAGGTGCCCTTCTAAGCATCGGGGTACAGGAATGGATGGCAGAGCCCCCATCTTCATGCCGTCGAGAGCCCAAAGGGTACAGATCAGGGGTCGGCAGACGCCCCCGTAGCCCAAAGCAGCCAGCGGCCCGTTTTGTAAATACGGTTTTGCTGGAAGGTGGCCGCGGGGATTTGCATATTAGGCTACACTGCTTTTGCTTTAAAAACCACAGAGCTGAGTAACTGGGACAGAGGCCGTTATGGCCCACAAAGCCCCAAATGTGTCCCATCTGGCCCTTTATAGAAAAAGTTGGCAGGACCAGCATGGTGGTTAAGACAGCTGAATCCCACATGGCTGACTGCATAGTTCAAGTTCTGGACCCGATGACTTGAGAAACATGCTGTGTGTGTGTGTGTGGAGGTGCTTTCTCACTGTCTCCCCCCAGTGACTGCACGTGCCCTATGGCAAATTAAAAAAAAAAAAAAAAAAGAAAGAAAGGAAAGAAAAAGGGAGGAAAAAAAACCAAAAAAACAAAAACTGGGCATAGCGGCATGCTCCTATAATCCCAGCTACTTGAAGAGGCTGGGACAAGGCAGATGGAGACACAATAAGACCCCCCCACACACACCGTTAAAAAGGAGAGAGAGAGAGAGGGGCTGGTGAGTGGTGTGGTGGTTAAAGTGTTGGACTCGGCACATGGCCGACCATGGTTCAAGTCCTGGACTTGCTGGCTTGCTTTCTTGCTTTTCTTCTCTTGCTGTGTCTCTGTTTCTCTCCGGTCAAATTTAAAAATAATAAATACAATTAAATAATTCTTTTAAAAGAGAGAGAGAGACGGGGAGAGGAGCTGGGTATTTATTGAGTATTTCAGACCTTGTGTTTGGAGCTGTCCCGCGGGCCATCCACTGGGCGGCCATGCCCTTGGGGTGACCATCACTTCCTCCCTGAATCCTCATAATGCATCTGTGACTCAGAAGGAGGTGACACTGCTGAGGTCAAACCACAAGGATCTCTCTCTCTGCTGGCCCACGTGTTTCCTCAGCTAAGGATGGTTGCAGAGAAGCTGAGAGGGGGCACGCTTCCTATGCCTAGGAGGGCCTTCGATGACTGGGAGACAGCTCGCCTGCACTAATTGTGTACCTACTGTGTGCCAGGCAGTCTCCAGTGGGAAGATGATGCTGGAGCACCCCAATCTTGAAGGATGATTCTGATGAGTTGTGGAATCCCAGAGGTGGCGATTGCGACCCCTCCATGCCCCAGTCCCCCAGTACCTGGCACATAGTAGGTGCTCAGTTAATAATGTTGCACGAATACCTGGTGTGTCAGACTTCCCCTGAGTCGTTGACGGGCCATCCAGCATAGGCAGCAGGAGGCTCAGGAGGAGGAGGGATCACTGTGGGCGGCAGTGGCTTTGGGTGAGAAGAGTCCAGAGGAAGGGGGACCGGGCAGGCAGACAGGGAGGCTGGGACGTGTGAGACTTACATGGGCTCCACGGGCTAGGAGGTCGGGGAGAGCAGGCCGGAGGGTCTGTCAGGAGCGAGGGTAAGAGAGAGGCCTGGACGGGAGCTCTGGACTCCATTTCCAAGAGGCCTTGGGTTTTAGCAGGAGGGCAGTAGGGAGCCCTCGAAGGCTTTTGAGCAGACGAATGATCTGAAGCATGTGGAGCAGGCCGTGCCTCCTGACCCCAAGTGGGACCTGAGGAGTGAAGCTGCTAACTTGCCGTCTCCTGGAATTGAGGTCAAGGTCGCTCCCACCTCCACTCCCCATCCCAGTATCCCTCATCGAAAGACGATGACTGGGAATGCCACCCAGAGCCCAGACCGCCATGCCACGGCTGTTTAAGTCACTGCTGTGCCCTCAGCCCATCCTGGCGCTGGAGTGTTGCTCTTGCCTTGCGTGCTCCGTGTCTCCCGTCCGGTAAAGCTCAGGCCCGTGTGGGCTTCTAAATGCCGAGAGAAGGAGAGAGGGGAGCTAACAGCGCAGTTGTTTAACGGCCATGTGTTGGCCATGGCATGCCGGGCAGTGGGCTCGCCCCTGTGGCCCGCACTGTGGTGACCAGCACCCTTGCCCCCTGCCCATCCCTGACAACTGGCCAGGCCATGACAGACAGAAGGCTGGTTGCCACGGCGGGCACAGCGGTTACCTGCTTAGACTTGGGGGTCTGAACCCACTGCCCGGGTTTGAATTCTGCTTCGGCGTTGGCTGGCTATTTGACTTGGGACATGTCACTCCTCTCCCTAAGCCTCAGCTTTCTCACCTGGAAAGTGGACGCTGTAGTAAGATCTGCCTCCCGGAAGGGGCCAGGTATTGCCCCACAAGGCCCTAAAGGCCAGGTAGGGCCAGCACTTTATCCCAGTTGAACCAATTCGGCCCTGAAAGTCCTGCTCCTGTGAGTTTCATAGACCAGCTGGGACAGTCGGCCACCCCAGTCCAGTCCTGATGTCTGGGCCTACCTCCGAGGGCAGCCGGAGCTGGGCTGGGTGTGAGCCGCGGGTGGTGCAGCCGTTCCAGGACGGGGGCTCTGAGCACCTGTCCTGACAAGATCTCTCCTGTCTGTGTCACCCTTACAGGACCAGCTGAAGCAGTGCTTCTCCAGGCGGCCCCCCGAGGCCAAGGACACCGACACCCTCGTGCGTGAGGCCGACAGTCAGTATGGGACGTGGACAGACCAGCGCCAGAGCGGGGAGAGGTAAGGCGTGCTGCATGAGGGTCCCGGCTGTGGACGGGTGTCCAGGCCCGCCTGCCTCCTGGTTTTGTGTAACTGGAACCTCTTTGGTCTGTTTTTACAACAGCAAGCCAGTCTTACTGTTGAAAGTACAAAAAATGAAAGAAAATCACACTCGAAATATCAAAATGCATAGTCAGGGCAGGTTAAGGATCGGGGTGAGGGTGATGGGTAGTTCCTGCTTGCACAAGGTTTCCATTTGGGGTGAGAAAATGTTTTAGAGGGGCTGGCAGGGGTCATGGGGGTTAAGGTGCTGGACTCCCACATGACTGACAACTGTTCGAGTCCCAAATCTGGTGGCTTGCTTTCTCACTTTCCTTCTCTCTCTCTGGTCAAATTAAGAAATAATAACAATGAATAAAATTAAACTAAACATTTTAAAACTGCATGGATGGTTGCATACCATTTGTGACTATCTTAAATGTAAATGTAATGGTCTATTTACGATGTGTTTTACTACCATATATATATAGCTGATAATAAAGTTGGGTTGACGATGATTGAAAATGGATAGTAAAAGAAAAAGGAAAGCAAAAGTTTCTTACAGTATCCATGC